AAATCATCATGTATAACAATTGTATCTGGTCCAATGCGTGTTTCCACAAGAAATACTAAATCTTTATCTATAATTCTTGATAGAAAAAGTTCATCATCCATTTCGTTCATACCTTTTGATATCAATCCTCCAATATTCCAAAAAACACATTTAACATTTGTCTTATTGTACATTTGATATATTCTATAAAAAAAAAAAAAAAAAAAAAAAAAAAAAAATTCAAACCCAAATCAAGAGAAAAGGTACAACATCCTTCAATACATTGAACAATATATATATATTATAATATTATGTGAGAAAAAAGAGAGTTGCAAATAAACACGACGGTCATGAGTACAGGTGCACCGATAAGTGGAGGTAGACCAGTATTGATATGTATAATTCACATAGTGGAGTAAAAAAATTAGCATTGTTTATATATATCATCTGTGTAATTGATAAGTTACACCTAAAAAGATGATTAAAAAAATGGTAATTGTAGTTAAAGCCATAGCTGGCAGGTTAGTAAGATCTCCTTTCCCATGGTCCAGATGGTGCGTACTGATAGTTCGCGATCTCCGATGGTACGTGTATACATCTTCTTTGGTGAAGCACGGCGAAAGTCACGGTCTTGGTCTTATATTGAATATTGAAACAAATTAGCATTAGCTACAGCAAAATTTATGATAAATGTGATGACTTCAACTCTTTTATCTAAATTTCATGAAAGAGCATGTTGATGGTTTGAGCAATTTTCAAATGAAGCAAGCTACTGACAAATAGTTGCTGATAAACTAATATCAACAATCTCGTTTAATGTCAATAGTTTGAAAAATCAATGGTCAACACAATGACCATGTTTGCAAATACATTTTGTATCGTTAGGTCGAATGTTGACTTGATTTAAAGTACTGAACCTTAAACCAATTGTGTCACATAAATCGTGTTAAAATTCCTTTCACATTTTATTTATGCATACTATATACTCTCTTTATAATGCAAATCGTGTTTTCAAATAATTTTCTGAACCTTTTTCATAAAAAAAAAAACATATTACAAAGTCACTATATTACAAGAGTATTGCATGTAGAAGTCATTCACCTGATGACAGGAAAATTCATCACAATAAATCATACGTGTACGCAATATGAAGTGAATTTCCCGACAAGGCGTAAAATAAAACTCCTGGCAAAATTTTCAGTTACTTAAATTATGCATGTGTTACAAATTGTATCTTCAGATCGGATAATTAATTGTATTAAACATACATGTTATAATGAATTGAAATCTGCATGACAAGAGTATTGAAATTTTCAATCATACACGTGTGATATAAAAACGAAACTCTGACAAGACTTTTAATTACATTAAACCATACATGCACTGTTAAATGAATCTATGAAATATATGGAGATAAAGAACAGTATTCAAGCTCAAAAGTCCATTAAACAATACAAAATAGGAGTAGAGCAATCACGGACCTCCAAAACATCAGAGGTGGGATCAGGTGCCATGGAGGAGTGAGATCCCCTGCCGACCGGTCACACCCGCCGTGTGCTCCTTGTCATGATCGCGAAATAACGGGAAAATCCGTCTACAATTCAGTGTGTAAATAATGGCCTAACAATTAGTATGAAAAAAAGTCAGTCAGCATTTGACTCAAAGATAAATTGTATTTGCTGACAAGGTTATTGTATCGACCATAGAACTTACGAAATGATGACTTTAAACGAGACTACTGATATTCTTGTTTCGTCAACTTGTTTGTCAATAATTTATCTCGTTTTAGAAATTATACATACGTAGATCATGCTCTTGCGTATCGAATCAACTGAGAGATATAAAACCCGTTTGCATGTGATGAAGGTATATTGATGCATAAGAAAGGGAAGTTGACGATTGAAAAGTTAAAGTCATCACGTTTATCATAAAGCTTGGTTGTTAGATTACCATTAACGTCTTTTTCAAGTAAAATATCCAAATATGAAACAGATGTGTCACACTCTGTGGAATCTTTTATCTCAAGCTCACCGGGATATATCGTATCGACATAAGAATGGAAAAAACCATTGTTAATTGACAATACGTCGTCGATATATCTAAATGTCGAGTTGAAGGACAAGCAAATGTTTTCTTCTTTTCACGTATAAGATTTTGGACAAATTCTGCTTCATATGAATACAATAAAGGTCTGCTAATAACGGGGCGCAATTGGTACTATGTAAAGACTATTGAAAATGTTAACCCATATACATGTTATATGATAATGCATTATATAATACATGTTCTATAAATAATGTGCATTTATTGACAAGACTACTAAACACACATTACACCATACATGTAATATTAAATGGACCTCTTACAAGACTACTGAAATCAGTTATACGGTTAATCATGTAGTATTAAACGATTTTCTGACAAAACTGTTGTTTACATTGAACCATACATGCCATATAAAAATCTGACAAGACTTTGATTACATTTAATCATGTATGTCATAAAAATAAATCAATTCACAAACCATTGGTCACTAAACCATACCTTTAATACAACCTGATAAACTCACAAAACTAAGGATTACACTAAATCGTACGTGTATTAAAAATGAAATAATTGACAAGACTATTGATAACGTCAAATTTCGTACATCAATTTTTAAAGAATCCCCTTACAAGACTATTGAAAGCATAAATTTTAAAGCAATCTTTGACAAGAAAAGATCTATTCATTGTTAAAAGGCATGGTCCAAAGAGCTTGAGGAGAGTTTGATTTTAATAGTGTACAGGTAATACAAAATAAATATTTGGATTTTAATTAACAGATAAAATTTCGTGTTTTGAAAAAAAAAAACTGTAAACGAACTTTCCAATTCAAAGACGTTATATGTGATCTTCAAGATGCATTGTCATCTTTAATTGAGTTCATATAAAATATGCAGGCAGTATTAAAATCAAATTACATTTTGCCACCTTAGTACAAGTAACATGCACATTGCATTATGTGTTAGGCAAATTACAACAATCTCTGAAGAAACAACAAATTCTAGCTTGAGCGATGAAAATCATATTTTTGCGTATTAACATTGTGACTCCAAATTTTAAAAATAAAAAATGAGGCACATATTAATGTGCACGATTAATTTCCACAAAAGTGATTTTCCAAGTCATGTTTAATAAACTGATGTAGATATCATCATTGGGTAAAGATAAATATTTTATTTCTGATTTTTTGCTATAAAAAGTAATAAGTCACGAAAAACACTGTGGATTATACATTTCCTAGTATGATGATTTCATGTATACTATATTGTTGAAATATACAAAGTAAAATATATTTGATCACATAGAGTATCGTCTAACATGCTTCCTTACTTCATTCAACACTTTTTTGACTATTGGTTTTATTAAGCCATACATGAAACATAAAGTGAATATTTGACTGGGAAACATTTACTCAAATATATATATATAAATATATAAACTAAAGGCATCGTCAGGGGTACTTGGGAAGAGTGCTTTAATTTGAATTATGTAAATTGTAATACGGGATCAATAATTAGAATAACTGCTCGAGGTGGTTAAACCAACATGAACTGAGAAGATATTGTTAATGCCTTTTCCTCTTATGTTCAATGGCTTTCTGAAGTTATTTTAATCGGAGCTTTTGATCAATTTATAACTAGAAGAGAAACGCGTTCTCACTGCGCTTGCTGCGTTCACAACACGTTCACAATGTGTTCTTCACTATGGATATATATTCAGAAAGATTGTAACACATTTTTTTTAAAGATTCAAGTCACATGATGAAAAGACTTCTACTTATGCCAAGAAATATTCTTTAATTAAAAATGATCTATTTGAATAATTTAGTACCAAATTATTGAGAGTTTATTAAAACTTTTATTATTAAATTAAAACTCTTCTTTTTTCAAATATATCAATTCAGATGTGTTTTTATCTTTTCTTTGATTTTATTATTAATGTAAAAAATGAACACACTGAAAAGTTATGAAATTTAAGCAATTCCACCGCAACTCCACTGAAACAATAGAACAAGTTCTGGTGTAATTTTTAATTCCCAATTCTACTCCCATGCTCCTGGTCTGAAGTGCAACAAATACGTTAGAATTATGAGGCCATTAAATTGCTCTTGTTTTGTGAGCTGGCTGACAACGCTCTAACAACGCCGTGAAAGCGCATTGTGATCGCCAACGGACGCGATAGAAACGCCAAGGAGCGCAATGATCGCAGTGGCAACTCCTTGTTGTCGCTGTGTAATCGCAGACAAAAAAAATCACAAGACAATTAAACTCATTAGAAGCGCCGTAAAAGCGCGATAAAAACGCAGTGACATCTCCAAGGTCTCCGTGGAAGCGCAGTCTACTATCACTGCGTTCATGCTGCGATCATGTGCGTCTTCACGGCGTGCGTACAGAGCCCCCACTGCGTTGTTAGAGATCTCACCGCGCTGCTACGGTGATCATACTACGTTTCTGCTGCATTCTTATCAGACCACGATCACACGGCGCGTACTTTGTGCATGCGTTCTAGGCGACCCTACGCGACCCTACCACGTTCAGTGGAGATCTCGCCGCGTTGTCACGGCGCTGTAGAAGACTCTACTGCGCTCACATCGGCGTTTTGCATTTTCTATGGACGCCGAACGATCCCCGTGAGGACGCAGTCCCGGTGTGAGAGGGGTTTTAAAACTTAGCACATTGTAGGAAAGTCAATGGAAACCATTTGGAATCCACTGTATGACTCAAAATCTTAAAATTACTTAAACAACGTAGTTTGTATAAGGAACCTCTATTGAATTGATCCTTTGATTCATATCCAAAGAATGATATGAAAATCGTAAAGATAATTTACACTTTATTCTTTGTTTTTAAAAATGTCCTGATGCTTGTTAAAATGAACACTGTGAATTATGTCCCGTAACGTAAGAAATATACACATTCTAGTATGACATTTTCATGTCAACCACATTGTTGAAATATATGAAATAAATATATTACGTCACACAGAGTATCGTCTTACATGCTTCTTTAATTCATCAAACACTTTTTTGCAAAAAAGTATTTCTTCGTCAAAAAAACATTTTTTTCTACTGAATTTACCAAGGAGTCTCCGTGTCCTCTCCAGAACAGACAATCCTTCTTTGTCTAATAAAGACATATTAGAATTCTCGTCATCAATATCACTATTGTATGGGTTAAACATATCATTATTTAAAAGCCAGCGGTCTGAAAAAGGAAGATACTTTCTGTATTTCACTCTGACATTAACATCCGCCCCAGCCTCCAGAAGGATCCTCACCTTCTCTACTAGGCTCTTCATATACAATTTTAATCCCTCATCAATCAGTGTAAACAGAAAAGGTTTCACATCAAAATGTGAATTATAATCATCATACAACTGTATCCATTGATTGACATCTAGACCCAGATCTAATAGATATTTTAGTACGTCACATTTACTTTCCATAATTGATTTAAATATAAATCCTGATTCTCTCATATGGAACACTCGTCCTTTTTGGACGACCACATCATCCTTACTATCGAACATTACATCGCTATGTCGTATGTTGACGAGACAATCGAATAAATGCAACTTCACTCTTTTGAATTGACTGTCATTTTCAGTTTGAATTAATTTATTTACAAATTCAAATTTGCTTTTGATTAATGTAATCAAAATTGCTGAAAAACCTTCTCTATCACAGATAGTTGGGTCTGCACCATAACTATTGACCATCAGTTCAACAGGTATGACAGTCTCAGTGCTATTTAAAAGTATTGTATATAAAGGTGTTCTTCCTTCAAAATCCTGTATATTAACATCAGCTCCTGCCTTTAACAGCTTCTCTACTATACTCATATGTCCACCCTTGCAAGCCTCTGTCAGTGGTGTATCATATTTACCTTTTAGATTGACTTCAGCGCCTGCCTCTAGCAGCTTTTGTACTATATGTAAATGTCCACATCCACATGCTGTTGTTAATGGTGTTGTAAAAAAACTGCGAGGATTAACATTAGCCCCTGCTTCTGGCGGCTCAGACACAACACTCTCTTGTTCACTCATACTTGCCGCTACCAGTGGTGTATATATTGAAACTTGAAGATTGACATCAGCCCCTGCCTTTATCAGATCCTCTACTATAGTCATATTTCCCTTACTACATGCCAATGAAAGCGGTGTATTATATTCATCTTGTAGATTAACATAAGCCTTTGCCTTTATCAGCTCCTTCACAACACCTTTATGTCCACCTTCACATGCTGCTGTCAGTGGTGTATCACCACATAATTCAACATTAACATCTGCACCTGCCTCTATTAACTCTTGCACAACTTCCATGTGACCACTCTTGCATGACGCAAGAAGTGGTGAATTAAATGCACCTTGTTGATTAACATCAGCCCCGTCTTTTAAAAGCTCCTTTACTATACTTATATGTCCACCCTGACATGCTGCTGTCAGTGGTATATCACCACAGACCTCAACATTGACATCAGCCCCCGCCTCTCTTAACTTTTTCACTACATCCATATGACCATACATACATGCTGCTATTAGTGGTGTAGTACGTTTACCTTGTTGATTAACATCAGCCCCCGCCATTAACAGCTCCTTCACTACAATTACATGTCCACCCTGACATGCTGCTGTGAGTGGTGTGTCCCGATAAGTATTAAAGCCAAAGGGACTTTGTAGAACCGTGTTAAGTGTATCTATATTGATATACTTCATCAATATTTTAACAGTCTCCAAGTCCCCACTGTAACAACTCAGTAAAATTAAACGGTATTCTTCACTAATTTCATTCTCTGTAATGTTCCTAAATAATAAATGTTCTTTTTCTTTGTTTTCCGTTCTTTTTAAAATATATTGTAGAATCCGATTATGTCCATAATAAATAACCCAACTGATAACCCTAATACTGTATGTAGGTTCTGATCCTTTCCATTCTTCATTCACCAACACCTCCTGTCTGTTCAACTCCCAGCCCCAGTCTGTAGACTCCACCCTCACACGTTCTCCTTTGCTCACTACCATAGCAATGTTTTTCTGCACTGTCAGAAATAAGGACATCAATTCTGTATCAGACTTTCTCTTTAATACTTCCTCAAAAGTTTGATACACCTTAGGGTCCTTCAAAACATTGTTCATAAAAACATCATACAGTTCCATATTTTCTATATCTCTATACAAGCGTTCTGCTAGCATTGGATAATGTTTTTCTTTAAGTCTTATACACAGATCAAATGATTCTACGTCAGAATTGTATTCATTACTGAGTGCACTGCTGTTTTTCCTTTGTTCTCTTCCCCCACTGTCGGGTGCATTTTCACTCACTTGTTCATTTCTCTTGTCTATCTTCTGAGTTAGACATTCCTGAACTTTTACATTGTTAGCAATATAATTACTACTCATAAATTTTAAGATGAGTTCTTGAAACTTGGAACCAAAATGATGAGCAACAATTTCAAACATGGAATCATGAACAAAACTATACTCAGTACCACGAAGTTTTGTGTATGTTCCTTCCATTTCTGACAAAGCGTCGACGAATTTAAAATTATCAGTATGACTGCTGACTTTGCATTGCTCTAAAACACTGAGCTTCATTTCATCGAAGTTTCCAACTACTGCTTCACTTTCTGTCTTCAGGATTTTTTTCTGAAATTTTGTTTTCATTCATCATACATAAAACCAAACAAGTATATTGAATTTTGTTTTCTTTTCTCATTTCTTCAAGTTCCCTCAAAATACATGGAACTGGATTTTCAAAAAATGCGGGCCCATAAAACTGAAATTTCTTTTCATTTGAAAACACTTTGCAGAGATAGGGAAACATTTTTGATGCTGAAGTCAGATTTTCAGGAGACAACAGATCTACATCTATATTGTACATTTTCAGTAAACATTTTTTGTCAGTATTCGTTAAAGCATTAGCTTCACTATGTAACAGAACAGTATTATTTTCATCAGTAAAAAATGAACTGGACTCCAGTGATTCTCTATACACGGCTTCTCTACAAGTCATGATAGTTTTTGACTTTGACATTACTGGCTTCATTATTCTATCTTTGTAATCAGTCAAAAGATATAGTTTAGTGTTTTGAAGTCCAAATACACCTACCACATCATCAACAACAAAAACCTGTGGATTTCTGGGATCACAGTAGTCTTCTATCTTTCTGATGTCTTTGATGGGTACAATCTCATACCCTTCTTGTTGTAACATCAATGCAATATGACGAGCTGTTGCTGTTTTTCCTGATCCTGGGACACCAACAAATGTAACATGAGGCTTATTCTTCACTTTTTTCAGCATAGAAAGAAAGTTGTGAGATTCATGGAAAAGTTTGTCATCTTCTTTCCACTTAATGACATCACTTTCATGAATAGCTATAAAGGAAAGAGGATGTATTTCTTAAGTTGCCAACTGAGTGTCAATGCAGTTTTCAGTCACTTTTCAGTGGCCAACAGGTACATTTCAGTGACATTTCAGTTACTTGTAAGCCACAATTCATGTACATTTCAGTCGCTATTCAGTGGATACATGATATATGGTTATAACGAACACTACTCAAGCTCAATGTCCATTTAAACAATACAGATCAGGAGCAGAGCAAACACAGACCTTCAATAATTTCAGAAGTGGGATCTCGTGTCATTGAGGAGTGAGTATCCCCTGTCAACCTGTCAAACCTGTTATTAAGAACAGGTCCCAAAGATGTGTAATTAATGTCCTTTAGTAATCTTTAGATTACATTTTTGCGCCTATTCCGTCGTCTTTCGGTTACGTTTTACTGCACTTTGAGCTATTTTTCAGTCGTAATTGATGAGCTTTCCCTTGCATTTTTTTTATATAATGAGTACCTTTTCTTAGCATTTTAATATTAATTATCTATATCTTTCTGTTATTATTTGTGTGGTAAGAATATTCAGGTGGAAAGGAAAATATCTGTTAAAGGCCTAATTTGGCTTTTCTTGGTTGTAAAAAAAAAAGCTAAAATTGTTTTAGTTTTCGGTTAAGAACTTTAAATGTTGCTTGTTTTGAAACTAGCAATAAAGGTGATTTAAAGAGTACAGGGAGGCCAAAAGCAGGTGCCAAAATTGGACATTTTACGAAATTTCCTCAATTTTGATGGAATTTCATCAAATTTGAGATAGTATAGGCTTCGGGAGACAGAGCATAAACTTGCCTATCTTAGATTTTTATGCACAGGATGCATCTAATAATAGGGCGTGAAATAAATAAATTTGATAGGTAGGTAAGCTTGTAGTCCGTGTTTTCCGAAACAAAATATCCTATAAAATATGAAAACATTTGCATTAAAATGAAAATATTCGGAAAATGATATATTTTGTGATCTTCCTGCAACCTTTGAGTACCCCATAACTAAGAATCAATACTCATTTTTAAAGAGGGGTGACAACAAGTTTGTAATTATGAACTATTCCATCTCTCCTATAGACTCTAGAAGTCGGGGGCCAAAAAGAGGTTTTACACTATCTGGTCCTTTGTACGTAAGACTGGAAATGACTAGATTTAAAATTATGTTTAAATTGCTTATTCGGAAATCGGAAATAAATTTAAACAATTAAATATGATAATGAAATATTCCTTTCAAAATTTGTCAAAAAATCTTTCTTTCTTTCTTTTTTTTTCTTTTTGTAAATCTCTAAATCTGCAGCTTAAATCTTTAGAAGCTTTTTTCAGTCTAGTTGTTAAATGAATGACGTAAAAAAATCAAGGATATCGGTATTATTGCATTTTAACAAGAGAAAACTTTTTTTTTATTTTATGCAGATTAATTATATTCATTTTTCAATTGACTATTAAATGTAGTTAGAATTTCTAGCAATTGAAGCAGAGACAAAATTGATTATCTTAAGAGCACAAAATTTTTGCGAATTTTCCCGATGTTTAAATAACGATTTATTTGTGATAAAATGTAAGAAAGGCAGATCAGACACGAAGACAAAATAGTTTGTATGCTATAAAAAAAAAACTCTTAGAACTTCATTTTCCGTTGTTTCGAAAAATAGGTTTGCTATTCTTAAAAAGATGATGATGAAAAAAAAAAAAGATATCATTTTTGTTATTGTTAAACATCAAACGTACCTTTCACATTCGGGGGAATAACAGCACTTTTAAGACTTGACACATCATCTGAAGGAAATAATAATAATAATAATAATAATAAAATAAATTTGATTGATTTCTGTGCAAATGATTTATTCCAAGATAGATAGGGATATTCCTAAAGCTGAGTGTGTTTTTGCAAAGTACAAACTGGAGAAATGGAACAGTGTTCAATATTATAAATCCAATGAAGAATACGTGTCGTAGACAAGGTAAAGAAAGTCAGACCCCTGGAAACTCTGGAAGTTATTAAGAAGGTCCCAAGGATGTGCAAACTAACATTTCTTAATGATGTAAAGGGATTACAGTAGGGTTATAGGGATGTTACCCGTACCTTTATTTTTGCTTCCTTCGAACCGAGATTATTTAAAGGTGCATACAAAATATACCGAAAATTTCGTAAGATATCCCTAACAATGAGTTTTCCATAGAGTTTTAATAATCAAATTTGACTGTAATTCGTGGTCGAAATTATAGCATCAGAGACATAATGTAACATGTCCTTCAAATCAGAGCCTGACAATAGGTTGCATTTGCATAAGAGACCAGTATAACGACCAAAATTGCAAAATACTGATTTCAAACGAGTAAATAGAAAAGTCTATTACTTGAACATTTTTACGGTAGCCTGCTCCAGTTCGCAGCACAGTTAAGGCTGCAATAAGGAGGCGGGGCCGAATTTTTACGGGAAATGCTTACTATGACATCACACAAAAATATATGTCCTTCAAATTACCACAAAATGAAATGATATGCTATTTTAAACTGTTGGATGGCTTTAAACTACATCAAAACTTTCTATTGCATGTATTTTTGTCGTTGGTTAAATCCCATACAGCTATATATATAAACAATTCACTGATCACAATGCACTTGTCAATGTGACGTCATATCGTAAAATTTGACGCAGTTTGTATGCAGTCAGAGGCGGATCAAGTTATATTTTATACAATTAAAAATGTACTTTGTAATTAAATATAATATTATTTGCAGATATATAAGAGACCATTAACTTGGATGCAACGTCTATTTTATGATTTTATTCATATACTTCCCGTACATTCCCTAGACAAGCGAAACTGCCGTACATTTATATGCAGATTCATTGAAGGGTAATAGAATGGTCGTAATAAATCAATATATTGCAAGGGCATACCCTCAATGAATTACGACAAGCTTTTACACTTAAACTCAAGAGGTATGAAGATATTTGAAAAGTGCTGCGAACCTGATGAAATCTTGCAAATGATTTAATTATATCTACATTTAATGTACTTGACCAGCAAAATATTCAACATACGGTCTAACAAATGTAATTTTAGCAAATATATAGTAGAATCTATATAGGTTCGCAGCACTTTTCACAAACTACAAAGAGTGTTGAAAATAATTATAAATTAAAATTTAGATTTTTAACTTGGTTATGCCCTTGCAATATTGGAATTTATAGATGACCTCAATGCTGCAGGTATATTTGCTAAAATCACATTACTGCCACATTTCGTAAAAAATCTAAATAAGAAATCTAAACGTCCTCAACATGTAAGTTTCAACCACATTACATTTGTCCGATAACAGTGAAGGCCTGAAAAGAATCGCGCATCCTTGGAAAGAATGTATTTTCTATCTAAAAAAAATTCGCCGATATTTCCATTTGTCACCTTAACTGTACTGCGTTTAAGAATAATGTACTCAAAACAAGGTTTCATTATTGAATCAGTTTGGAGAAACTGACAGATATGCAGGTGGTTGTGGAATATTTCTATTTAAAAGGCATAGAAAACACTGAAAAGGGTTAATTAATCCCCTTTTCATATCGTTTAAGTGTAAGTGTACAAAATTCAGGTTTGAACCATATATGGCAAAATCTGCAATTTTTTTAAGCGCTAAGCGCATACGCAAGCGCTTGTTATGTAGGGTTCCAAAATGTCCATGATCTTTTTATCAACGCCCCCTACCGATCATGATCATCACCCTACTGCATTCGGCAAACCTCGGCTGATTCCATCACCTTCATTAGATGAGGTACGAATCGGCCGAGGTGTGCCGAGTGCATCCTACTGATCAAGTTTATCGTAAAATCTAAAGAATCAGGATTCTATCATATATTATCATTATAAACAATTTAATAACTATACTAATCACGTTCCATTTTATTAAAATTCACGAGCAATTCGTAGCAAAATCAGGGGCAGGGAACCAGGCTTTAAAGTTATGTAAACGTAAAATATGGGGTTCCATCATATCTTTGCAGGGGCGCAATATAGTTCTCTTGGGAAAAACATTTCTGTGAAAATATTTTGTATAACTTGAACTTTAGTTACATTTTGATGTAAGTAATAAAGTATGAGCAAAAAAAAATCATTAATGAAATAGTTGTCTATAACATTATTCACGCCTCTTACGCCTCTTTCGCGGAGGAATACATTATTTACTTTCCGAAGAGCGAGAAGAAATAACGTGGGTAGAAACAAGATCAACGAACAACGAATAACATTGAAGTAGGCGGAGAATTGGGCAGGAGACCGAGAAAAGGTAAATACTACATCTATTTAAGAGGTTAAGGCGGAATATTTGAATTCTATCAGATCTGTAGTATACTACGGTGCAGCATTTTTGTCTACAACAGTGTTTTACGTAAGTCCGATGTGACGTACGATCAGCAAATTTTCCAATATACCATAGATAAGATAAGAAACCGAGGTGATAAGACGTGTTTAAAATTGGCTCCTGATTTTACCTGAGCTAACAGCTTAGCTAATGTGTAATTGCTTTTGTTTTGGATTACAAATTAAGTCCTGTTTTCAACAATCACTATGTAGTAGATCAAATGATGGATGTCAGCTCAAGTTCCAGCCTATTTAGATCAATTTTGGATTCTTTTACTGGATTCACAAATCCATTAAATGACAGTCATGATAACCTGCATATTGATGTGGACTTACCAAGCTTCCTAAAAGTTATCACCAATAAGAGCAGCATTACTGTGAATTTTGACCAGGAAAAATATGACAGCATTTTTTCATATCTGCAACAGGAGTTGTTATGTGAGAAAACTACTAAAGGAGATGGCCATATTTTTAAGACTAGTTGTAGATCTGTTACGGCTACAATTTACAGAAACACCTCGGTACTCCATATTCAGGGGATTTCAGCATCATCATGGTGCGAGAAATTCATTGAGGAAATAAGTGTATACGCATGTGAGCTTAATGAATCAAATATTATTTCCCAACCACCGCCA